GGGGGGGTATTAATTTCACATGCACGTGCTCATTTTTAGCTAATTACGGTATTGCTGTATCATTTTCTGCCACAGTGAAGAGTTTCAAGAGGCTTGCATAAGAGTATGGAGCCATTTGGTCCCTGGCTATTCAACATGTCTACTGTCACTTATGCTCAGTCCGGACAGTCAGAAATAAGCGCACATTAAAAGGTATGATGGTCCTCGCTTATGCGGCTTCGTTCGTTAGTAAATGGGAGAATAAGGAAGGGATAAGCAGGCGCGAAAGATGACAGCTCGGGGATGTTTTGTTCCTGGTGTTTTGATACCTAGTTTTGAGGTCACAAACCGGGTACCTAAGAAAACGGCTCCCAGTTGGGCTGATGTGTGTGGTTCAATCGGATGCTGACTGGGTGACCTAAACGGATTGAGCTATGGAGAGCAACTGACCTCGTGGTCAACAACCCGAGTAAAAACCAGACATAAAAAACATCTGTACGTCGCCTGCGCACACTGGCCGTCTCCAAGATATGAGCAGCACGAATCACATTGCAACACAGCTAATAACAGGTTAAATTCACTTTTACGTTTGTGACTGACAAATTGTTAAGCTACGACTCTCCTTAGCATGAGGTTTTGTATATCCCCGAAACAGTTATCGAAAGAGGCGAAACGTTAGCTGAATGGGCGGACAAGCTGAATAGAGTACGACAGGTGGAACAAGATTGGAATCCGCTGGTCCCCACAGCTCCCACCGTCTTTGGTCAATGATGGAATCACGCCGGTCTCCTAGTCTGAAAGACTAGTTGGATGCCACGTGGGAATTCTCTAACATAGCTTAGTGGACCTGGGAGATACAAAAACCATAGTGTTGCAACAGGGTCCAGTCAAATCACAGCAGGCGATCCTGACGAACACGCAATGGCAGACTGCAAATGATTGCGGATGGTGAATAGACGGTCAACAAAATAAAATCTCATGAGGAGTCACTAAGAGTGCTCACACTACAGAGAAACCTAATACGTTCAAGAAAGGTTTCCATGGGGCTTTAGGAAAATAAGACAGGGTTGGATAGCGAGGGGCGTATGATGGTCAGTTCTGGCTGCAAGACACCGCTGTGTATCGCAAATAGAAATTGGGAGTCTTGTGGCAACAACCAAGACCAGAAGGTGAAAAGTAGGTCCCTTTCAAACATAATTGAAGCAGTTATAAGCCAATATTTATGGGATAAGATGGAACTGAGTAAACGCTGATGACCAGTCATTTGTGGGAACGCTTGCGGGTGCAAATACCCCTCGGGATTTGTCACACATGGACTGCTAGTGATACCTAAGAACTATGGACTAGTTGTACAGCTTTTCGACTGTTCAGCATGAATGTAATTAGCCCCAGATAAAAGTTAGGGAACTTGACAGACATTTTCAGTAAACTCACAATTGAGGGGGGTGAGACTGAGGATAAAAATGATCTGGAGTGGAATGACGAAAATCCATCAGGTCACCAGCCGTCGGGTTACTGGTGGCGTCCCTGTAGAAGGTGAATTTGGGCAAGACAGTGGTGCCTGATTCAGTGCCTGGAACAAACATAAGCAAACACATATAGACAGGAGTTATAAAAACCACAAGGTCTAGCCTAAATATGGCAACTAATCAAAACAGAAAAGTTGTACTAATCGGTTAATGTTCGCAAACGCTTCAAGAAACTTCACTTCACCAGCAAATGAGGACAGTAGGTGCAAGGAAAGCCCAAAACAAATGCCTCTGAGGATGATCGGGGATGGACGGCTTGGATATCTCTCAGTCACGTCACATCCACCTCTACCAAAGTGCTGTAAAAAGACCTAAAACAGCAATCCCCGAAGGGAGACCATCATATTGAAAGAAAACATCCAACGTGTCCTAGATTCATCACCAGCATGGACCAGCAGTAGAGGCTGATGCATAAGTGCCGCACATTTACGACGCGACACAGATCACCAGAGGACCAATCAGATTCAAAGTACGATGCTTGTGGGGAGCTAATCAAGAATGGCCCTTTCAAACTATACAGGCGCAAGAAGAAAGAGAGGGTCTACTCATCAAACCGCACACAGATATCTCCTCGAAGAGTGAAGAGACACTTGCAAGTCAGTTGTTAAGCCTGGCGAACAGATCAACAACCACCTGATCGACGCCTAGATGTCATCGAGCAACTAGCGTAACCTATCGTCTTCTCCATGTGGCTGCCTCTCTTCCTTAACCCCATAGCGAACAACTGAGAAGGCCACATCTCATTGCTTAGTCAAACAACGATAGGCCTACCCACGAGTCATCTTCGTGATTTCAAATCACCCGAATCATTGGGAGCATCGAGACCATTCGGACCAAACATGAGAGCTTCTTCTGGGAGTTTGAGCATAGTTCAAAGCGTAAGGAACAACTTCTAATCATAACAGCATACAAACTCATGAGGTGAAAGCTGCCGGTAGTACTTGAACTGGTCATTAACATGACGCAAAACTCGAAGCATAAAACTACGGTCAAACGATTAAAAATGAACTTAACAGTGGGAAATTGAAGGTTGTAGTGAACAAACTTACCATCCTTCGGCTGAGGGGGTGTTGCTGCGAGGGGAGAACGGGTGCGATCGTGCACCTGAACCGATTCGCCATCCGGCACACAGCCACAGGCCACAGGAGGAAACTCATCTGGATGACTCATGCTTACGTATGGTTGTGGGCAATCATGCATTCGAATCAAATCGGTCACATTATAAATGGTGTCACCAGGAGCCGCGTGGACTACTGTGTCCCCTGGGCCCAAACGAACTATATCGCGGAAACCTGTTGGCGCTGAGGACACGGGTAATGGAGGAGTAGTGAGGGGACTTGGAGCGGAAGCGGAAAAGAAAGTGGTACTGGGCGAAGAGGATGAGGTGTTTGCGTGTTTCCCACTCGTAGGCGATGTGCAAGCAGACATTGATTGGTAGGTGAGGCGATGTTCATGAGGAAGCTTGCAGGCGGCAAACTCTCCGGAGTCCGGAGACGACGACGCTGTGGGGTGGAGAATAAGGCCACCAACCCGAGTCATTTGAAGAGGAAACGACCCTCGTCTGGAAGAGCTGTACCAAACAGCTGTGCTCGTTACATTACCGAGGGGATTGCGGACTCCGAACGGGCGGGTTTGTTGCCGTGCTCGACTCCAATGTTGTCCACGTGGCCAGTCCGGTGATTGTGATGCACGAATGGGTTGAGTGGTGCAATAAGAAATCGGCTGACACACAGGCCGCGACAGCCTTTGTGGGCCAGGAGTGCTGTAGGGTGGACTTCGGCCATACCGAAGAGTTCGGACGGTATGGCTACCACTGTCCGGTCTGGCAAATGCAGGGTTTGGCTGAACGTTCACCGTCACAGGTCCAGGTTGTGAAGACGTGTGGCCGATATGCATCAGTTCGTCAGCACTTAGGCCACCGTCAATAGCTAATCTGGCAACAGCCCCCAAACCAGATTGAGTGACAGCGTCTGCGGTAGACCCATATGCCAATTGTGTGTGCCGTGGTTTATAGCTAATTTGTGGAGAAGGAGCAGCAGCATGCCCAGAGGCGGCGGTGAATTCCATTAGAGTGACAGTACAGGGAACCGGAGAACTCCTCCGGTCGATAGATTTGGAATCTACGGTAAATTCATCCCTCACCATGGGTGGCCGATAGGCCTGTTTGCGCACCAGGGGTAAGTCTCTTTCTCCTGTGGTAAAACAATGGAATACATCTATTAGAAATCGGCTAAATAGGTGGGAACATTAGACGAAAATGGGCAAAAACTCGTAATTTTGCCTGTTATTCAAAAAGTTGGATTACAAACAGAAAAAATAGTAATAGTTTGATGAGGGATCGAAGGGAAGCGAAACTGGACAGTCAGAGAGAGAGAGAGAGAGAGAGAGAGAGAGAGAGAGAGAGAGAGAGAGAGAGAGAGAGAGAGAGAGAGAGAGAGAGAGAGAGAGAGAGAGAGAGAGAGAGAGAGAGAGAGAGAGAGAGAGAGAGAGAGAGAGAGAGAGAGAGAGAGAGAGAGAGAGAGAGAGAGAGAGAGAGAGAGAGAGAGAGAGAGAGAGAGAGAGAGAGAGAGAGAGAGAGAGAGAGAGAGAGAGAGAGAGAGAGAGAGAGAGAGAGAGAGAGAGAGAGAGAGAGAGAGAGAGAGAGAGAGAGAGAGAGAGAGAGAGAGAGAGAGAGAGAGAGAGAGAGAGAGAGAGAGAGAGAGAGAGAGAGAGAGAGAGAGAGAGAGAGAGAGAGAGAGAGAGAGAGAGAGAGAGAGAGAGAGAGAGAGAGAGAGAGAGAGAGAGAGAGAGAGAGAGAGAGAGAGAGAGAGAGAGAGAGAGAGAGAGAGAGAGAGAGAGAGAGAGAGAGAGAGAGAGAGAGAGAGAGAGAGAGAGAGAGAGCGGGAGTCGACTGGTGAAGACTGGCTGCGAACCAGCGACATGCGAGAATACCTAACTAGCTGGCATGATTAAATGTCATGCGTACATACTATTGTGGGGTCTACACGTCGAATTGTGGGGGGAGCGGAGAGAGGGAGTGCCAGTATATTGCTGATTTTCCCGCGTCACGTGGCGCGCATCGCAACAAACACACCCACACACATACAAAAGTAGCCTCGTTCCGGAACAAAACGAAGTAAGCAGTCGGTCGACCACCAGACGTCAGGCGCGTGCGTTCGTTCGTGCTAGTATGCATACGAGCAAAACATGGACAACAGGCGCGTTTATTGTAGTGTACCCGGGGCGCTAGAATCGATAATACGCGCGCGATGAAGCCACGTCGCCGATGGAGACAACGTGTTTAATACATGAACGAACGGAGAAATGCGACAAGGATCACAACAGTAGGGTTGTTGCCAGGACGAATAGCAACAGTATAGTCTGCGAGAAAAACATCGAAAGTCATTGCTCTGAGTGTCCAAACCAATTATCAACAGCAACCAACGCAAAGTGGAGAAAAAGCCCATAAAATACTCCTTAGAATAGTGGATAATGTATGTCATAAGAGGAAGAGCGAACCTTGTGTGGGTGAAAATGGAACGGATACCCACTGGTCCCCATCGCCAGCATCCAGTGGTTGCGAACGAGGGTCTGGATCCATAACGCGATCATCGGCAACATGCAGAGTCACGTCACCAAACCTATGGAAAACAGTACAGTGGAGAGGGAAACAGTTCAAAAGGGTAGGAGGAGGGAATGATGATTGCGACGATCAACAAGTTAGATTCATGTGTAAGACTGAGCGAAAACCTCATAATGGTTTTGGGGGGGAGAAAAGGAAACTCGATGAATATTGCCTCCACTGAACGTTGAAACAGCTTTTGCACCTCAATCTCGGTTGAGAAAACGAGAAATTCATTCGAAGCTTGTTCACTCGAAAATGAGTTGGAAATACGGGAATAAGACAGTACGAGGTGGACCCACGTTCAGTCTAAACCCAAAGATGAGTGTCTGATTAGCTCAGTTAGTCAGCTAGAGACTATCCACGCTGGCTCCAGCTACTGAAGATGCCTTCACTGATCAAGGGAAAAATGGTACATCGAAGGCGATAGCCTGGTCAATTCAAGGATGTTGAACGTCCACTGTTTTGGATAACTGAGGATTGAAAAAGCTAAGCACTGAAGGCGACAGATCTGATGTACGAGTGCCATTGGCTGAGTGTTTGCGCCATGGTTGCCTATGTTACTGGTCTTTACTGTGCCTTGTGCCTGGTTCCCATCCAGGGAAACGGCAGTTGCCACTGAGCTGCAATTAAGTTTACTGGTCAACGCTTTCACACTTCACAATTCCGCTACACACTAGTCATCATCATCATCAGCTGCAAACTGCATACAGGTTGTGCAAAATGATCAGCTTTTGGTCGCTGCTATCATGCGTACGACTGGGAAAAAAGTATTCTTAAGCGCAGTCGACCCTTTGGCGTAAGAGGTCCATGGCCTAGGCAACGTTGCCTACGGTGGGTGACTAGCTCATCTAACTTGTTATTGGATGTCCCCAACGGACCCGGACAACGCCGCAGTGACACTGGGACACTGTGTTTTCTGCTCACAAGGGCCGCGTTCTAGCAGCGACGTAGTATGGGACGAAGTGCCTCAGAGTACATTCTGAACTTAAAGAACATAAAACTGAAGCCGGTCCCGACAGCTCTAAAGAACCACGATCGTCACCATCATCATTACCATTGATGACAACGAAACCACTTGATTCCCGGTGCTTCATTGCCGTACAATCACATTAGCCCGTTCATAAGCAAGCTAATCAGGAGAAATAAGGGGCGTTATGCCAGCCTAACAACGGCGCAACGGAAATTCAGGTGTTCTACGGAAGGATTGAGCTGGGGATGGCTGTGGTAAATATGCGAATTTATTCATCGGATGGTTCGTAGTTCGAGCCCAACCGCGGCACCTCGAACGTTGCCATGGTTGGGCGACCTGGAAATATCTCAGCCTCCGTGCCTCCTTCGGATAGAGTGGGAGCTATGCATAGAAAGGGTGTTACGGCTGAATGATCATTATTACACGGGTTGTTCACTTCCCAATGTACGCCACCCTAGGAGGAACGGAGAGCATCTTTAGTTTCGACAGACAATGCATAGCACATGCACGAGCGACTGCAGCTGGTGGCTCTGGATATTATCCGAGACTGAAGTATCTATCACATAACCTAATGTCTGTTTTCTAATTACCCCGTTGCGAATTCGTTGACGTCAGCCAACACCAGGAACACTTCTGAGGCATCGCTGGTCAAAGACCTGGAATCCCTTGTATCATCTGCCAACGTAGGCCGTCTCGCAACCACACAACAAATCCATATCGATAAGATTCCCACCAAGAATGATTTGAGCACCGGGATTTTGAAAACCTTCCAGAGTTCGCCTCATTATTTTATGGATGATAAAGTTGAACAAGACAGGGAAGAGTGGATACGCTTAGCGACACCTCTTTTTCCATGAACCTCAAGGGAGAGTCTGACAAGCGTGAAGCCTTAGAATTGGAAATTAAGACAAACTGTAAGGGCAAGATGTGCCTTATCATGGACATTAATCCCCTAAACGTTTCATCTGCAGTGAAGTGGAAAAGTGGAAAAAAGCGGCTTCCCAGATATTCGATGTAAGTTCAGTTAGATGACTCCTCACCACCAGAGCCAATTTGTAACTGATGTCTGGTAGATGAAGCAAAGCAATCATAACAGATCAAGTACCTATTTGTTGATTCCAGCCCTGGTTCAATCTGACCGCCCAAGACGGATAGTAGTTTACGTACTGAGTTGGTTTAATTCCGACCCCTTATCTGTATGGATTCCGACACTTTCCGTCTAAAATCCAGCAGACATTTTCTTGAATGTGACTGTGCATCCCCTAGCGGGACGCGCACTTTCGTTCAATCGTTATTAAAGTTCGTCCCCCTAAACCGGAAGCACCTCTTTGCTACGTTGCATTCACCCAAGTATCTCGGTTGCCAAAGTGGAGGACAAATCAAAGACCAAGTAACTAACACTGCCTGAATCCCCCAAAAGCCACTCGATTTGTGAACACGATGAAAGCGCATGCATAGCGCCATAAATTCCCACGCGCTTCAAAAGTAACTTTTCCCACACAATATTTCAAGGTCAGTAAATCAATGAATGCAACACGTAAATCCCCCTTCCGAATTCACCTCCGAGTAAGATCTGCCAGTTCCAGTTAATCACCCAAAGTGAACGTGCGTAAATCCAGATGAGTCATAGTTAATCCGGTTCTTCTGGATAAATCAACCGTCGAATCCTGCCTGGGTTCACACCAAATTCAGGGGAGTGAAAAGCACAAATGTTTCGGGGGAAATAATGGTCTATCGACGACGAGGATTTCCGGGACAAATTGGTTGGACTCCTTGGTCCTCAAGTAGTTGTGAATCGGAAATGACGCAGGATGTCCGGAAGCAACAAAAGAGATCACGTTTACCCCAGCACACGGCAGCTCCGAGTAGTTACAGGCTGTATAAGCTTCCTATTATGTGCGGGACGGGCACATGCATACGTAAAAAACAGGCTTTTCATATTGCATCAGTACAGTTACTATTAGTTAGCATTTCGACTCACCCATACAAGAGTCCCTTTTGGAAGCCTCTCTGTTCCAAAATGCATTACCTTTATGGGCAAGAAGGGTTTGTTCTGGAAGGTTCTGTCTTGGGCTGCATTGTACAAACACCCGCACAGCTTGCGCTGAACATAATGGCGACCTTTGGATACCCCTATTGCTATGTAGCTCTTGATGAAGAAGACGGCCTGCCTGCTGGGTGTTCGTACCAGAAACAACAGCCAGGGTGATTCTGTACCCTAATTTTTCGGAACCAATAAATGTGGCCATCGGCTTGCCTGAATTATTAACAACCTTGTAATGCGGGCTAGTGATGCTGATTCCCTGTATTAACACAGTCCCTCGTTCAGCTGTGGCACCCTTTCGGTGTCTAACTGCCACACCACCCGAAGGTTGCACAAGGCCTAGGATACTGCCAGGTTGCCCAAGCCTAGACAGGGAAAGTCGAGAGGCAGAGGTCGAGTTCGAACCACGAACTTTCCGGTCAGTAAATTTGCGCTCTAACCACTTGGTCACAGCCCCTAATCTGACCAAATTAGGTTGTGCGTTCACGAAACCGAGTTGCTAATTCTGCCGCTGTCTGTTTACTCATTCGCCCTATATTTTGCATTCAAACGGTCATTTCAACCTCGTCGTATTACGGCCGTTAGCTGGCTTGTATTACGATTATAGGAAAAGCCGAATCCACCAAAAGGAATATGGCTGAAGGTGGAGGGTTATTTTTGTGGTAAGGCATAAGGGGGCAAGTTAAGAATTTAAACTAACATTGTGCTAAAGAAACAGCGGTTGACTGAGGTAAAGCACGAAAGCAGACACTGTTCTATAAACAATTCCAAAGGATAAGCAATAGGAAAAGTAAAAAAAGGTTTGAATTACCTGGCCGCTAGCCTCTCGACCAAATCATGGATTTCAACGGTTGTTAGGCCAGCAACGGGAGTTGGTCCAACCGACAGTATCGTCTGTCCAGCTCGTAGACCGGCTTTAAACGCGTTACCATTCGGGTTGACAGACAGGATGCGTGGGTTAGCAGCTTCATCTGATAAAAATAGAATGGATCGAAATTATGAATGATGGATGATGTGTGGCGGAAATGGTAAAAAAAGTCATGTAGTATGACTACCACAAGGACAGGAAAACGCCATTAAGTATACGACAAACACTCAAGTCCATGGACGGTCTCTAGCCATTTGGTCTGATTATCACTGACATGAGAGACAATGGACCTTGAAAAACAGTCACGCAAAGATTCATCGGAACACGTACGTGGTCGAATAGAGGTTGATGTCTGGAGTACGTTCACGTTCATGACCAAACAGAACTGTGACGATGCTAAGCAAGGTTAGAAAAGCGATAACACACGCGTACCACGCGAAGTACGTTATCAATGCTTGCTTAAAGCCGCCAATACAATTTAAAGAGTATTCCGACCTAACTGGAGGACACAAAAGTGGAAGTCGCAGTGAGACATGCGGCACAAGTCAGCTGCTTGGCTCAGTTGGGCTGATATTCAGAATACCGAAATAGTGTCTCATGGAAGTGGCGCGTAGTTTTCATGTTGCCAATTTAAAACATCACCATCATCATTGACAGCATGACATCAGTGTTCAACACTAGAGCTTCGCTGCCGTACAACCATGATTTATCTGAAAACCTTATTGTGAAGAAAAGAATAGAGATGGACGGGAAGGGGCTTGGTGCTAGCTTACTACAATCATTTCGAGGTGCCTACACCACCAAACACCCATTCAGGCAACCTGGGTAAAAACTAACAAAACGAACGCCACTGACATCGGTTGGCAGCCACATCTTGCAGCGTCTCCAACCAGGCGCAGTGAAGATCACGTGGTCCCTATCCTGGAACGCGAGTAACTCCGAAAGCATACAAACGTTTTGTAATGTCCTTCATACCCCTCTGCCAGATTAAGGGATGGTCACCTCCCTTAAGTGGACGTGGGAAACAGCAGTCTCTTCGGCAAACGATGGTCAGGGATACGCAACACATGCCCCAACCGACGCAGCTGCTGGTGCTGGAAATATTCTTCAATGGAAGTGCCCGTATCCGAAGACAGATACGCCGACACCAACCCACACGAGCTATGGTTCTGGAACAACGGTTGTCGAACATTTGAAGACGTCTCAGTCCCGCTGCTCGAGCAGGGTAAGTCTCACAGCCATACAGCAAAACAGCCCGCACCCTAGTTTGATACACACGTCCCTTGAGATTCAGGAATACATCGATTAGATAGGGAGCAATCGGGACCTTCAGGACTCTCAACCAATCAGGAGCCAACAGATCAAATTCAAAAGTCAAACCTGCCGAGATTCAAGAAGACTTAAGAGGCCTGTTCTTTATTGTTGCGCTCGTAATGTCGGAGTAAACTACTTCTATACCACATTTACCTGTACGGACGATGATGGAGTGAAGGGTTTGAAGTTTAGAAATGGGGTTAAGTTTGCGGAACCAGCAGCTTTATATTCATGAAATGCAGATCCAAACGGGCACTGTGGTTAACTGGAAGCACAGAGCATTCCAGTACTTTGTTAGAGTGATTGTGAAAAGATGGTGCTAGATGGTTGAATGGTTAGAGCGCAAATTTACTGACCGGTTCGAACCCGACCTCGACTTCTGTTTAAGCATGGATAAGCCGGCAGTATCCCAGTACTTCCTTCGGCTGATATGGCAGTTAGGCACCGAAAGGGGATTACAGCCATTATTCCTTGAGATTCAGGAATACATCGATTAGATAGGGAGCAATCGGGACCTTCAGGACTCTCAACCAATCAGGAGCCAACAGATCAAATTCAAAAGTCAAACCTGCCGAGATTCAAGAAGACTTAAGAGGCCTGTTCTTTATTGTTGCGCTCGTAATGTCGGAGTAAACTACTTCTATACCACATTTACCTGTACGGACGATGATGGAGTGAAGGGTTTGAAGTTTAGAAATGGGGTTAAGTTTGCGGAACCAGCAGCTTTATATTCATGAAATGCAGATCCAAACGGGCACTGTGGTTAACTGGAAGCACAGAGCATTCCAGTACTTTGTTAGAGTGATTGTGAAAAGATGGTGCTAGATGGTTGAATGGTTAGAGCGCAAATTTACTGACCGGTTCGAACCCGACCTCGACTTCTGTTTAAGCATGGATAAGCCGGCAGTATCCCAGTACTTCCTTCGGCTGATATGGCAGTTAGGCACCGAAAGGGTATTACAGCTGAGCCATTATTACTATTATCGTTACTATGAAAATAGTGTCATTTCGTCCAGGCACTTTTCGCTGCGCGACGTGACTGAACAGTTTTATCTTTGTTCGATTGTGTAACTCTACTCAAGCGTCATCGTGCTGTTGGTCCTGATGACCTTCTAGGATGGCAGTGAATTTCTCGGCCAGTGACTGTCTACCCTATTTGGATCTGCCTAAGATAAAGATACTGTCCCAGCCAACCGAGGTGAGTCAATACATTGGTACCTATTTTCGACAATGGTGTTCACAGTAAATGCAGTAACCACAGATGTGTTAGTTTGGCTCCCGTCGTAACAAGGCTTCTGGCGCCACTGATTCTTTTCCGTCTTACGGCGGCACGTGAATCACTGACCCGTGAGCATCAAGCGGGATTTTGACCGGGTAGAGGCTGCGTCAACCACATCTTCACACGCCGTCAGGTGTTAGAGTAACACCATATGTACAGATGACCCACGATCTTGGTGTTTATTGACTTCAAGAATGCGTTCGATTCTGTTGGTCGGTAAGTGCTGTTAACCACACTCGCTCAACAGAGCATGTGAATGTATTCGGAGGTGCCCTACATAAATTGGTGTCCGACGAAGACCTCCACTCTTTCCGTTCTTGTTCGCCTTCGTCATCGATCAAATAATGAGACGGACGCTGGAAGACCTTCAGAACCCCAGTGCGCAAATTGTTTCTAATGAGAACCAAATGCCTAGTAGCCTCGCTATTCTGTAGCTATCTCCTTACACAAAGGGTACTAACACCTAGTAATATCGAAGCTTACGGTATCGTTTTAAAGATACTTCGTGCTTTAGAAAGCAATATTATTTTATCCAGTACAGGGATCCGTCGGTCGGTTTATCAGTCATAAACCATTTACCGAAGATACGTTAGGTCTAGCTGCTAGTTTCGGTCACTGGAAAATAGGACAGCGCGGGAGATACAGCTAACCATTACAGGCGATGACGTGACCAGTCAGTCGGGGAAACTGGGAAGCTAAGCAGTGAAGACAATAGATTAGATGCACGAGCGCTATCAACTCTACTAGTGAAATGTCTGCCAGTGTCATTAACCATTGGCGAGTTGAGTCCCGAGGTCCCCATCCAGCAAAGAGGCGACTGAGAGACCTAACCTAGTTCACTGATTGGTGTTTTCATATTTCAACAATTTATATACTGCCTACCTCTCGGTCACATACACTCAAACCAGGGCCGGGTGAAGAGCTCCGCGAGGCAGACGGTCCTCTGACATGTGAAGTACACGTCCTAACAAGAGTAATCTATGGAGCGTGAATAGTTAATCCATCGTGGAGTGGCAACTTTTCTAGAGCCAATGGTCTAAGACTGACGGAATTCACTTGTCCCCCGCCCGTACAACCAATCAGTCTGACTCAATGGAATATTAACTGCCGCCTCATATTTAGTGGTAGATGGCAAGTTTGAGTGGATTACTGATCATCCATGAGAAATTTACTCAACAAAAATCCGGAGAAAGACCGATATTCTTTGGTCAGACAGTCAAACCAAAAGTTGATGTGCTGAGACCGGATACGTGAAATGTTCTGCGAATGTATGGAGGTGCATCAAATTCACAGATCGGAGAGGACACGTTCCACAGCATTAAATTAGATCGGCTCCCATGGTCACTTTGGTAAGTTTCATGGAAATTCGTTTTTTACACCAACGCACATGAGCATTTTTCCAACCCGTACAAATGCACTCCGACGTCACTGTTTAGAGGTATGCTTCGAAGACACGTAACTTTATCTACAAACTTATTTTCCTTGCCCTGAAATGTGAGAGGGTTACGGGGGATGGAAGTATCGAAGTCTGACTTTACACTTCAAAAATGTAAGGCTCATGTTGCTGCGTGAAAGAGAACCTTTTTTAAGTGACTTACTACAGGGTATATGGTTCCGATGGCCTAAGGAAGAACATTCGCGCGAAGAAGTTTTGTCTTGAAAGCAATACTTTAAAACTGGATGGCTCCAAGTCCATCATACGTGTGAGATCCGTTAGCTTCATCAGGACAGGAGAAATTAGCTAAGGAATCAGAAGATTTTATACGACATAGCCCTGAGGAAACCCTATTGTAAAACAATTCAGAACGATGCGCAATTAATGCACTATCAGTGGTGTATAATGCGGACCAAACACACCCTCACACTTGAGTAGAATATTGTCTTCAGTTAACGAAGTATGCTAACCAACGCCGTGTTGGATAGGAAAACCATTGTGCCAAATAGTTTTCGGGAGGCAACAACTTTATTCAACCCAAGCATCTACAATACACATCTTGTTATTATGGCCCCAATCAACGGCGCACGCACGCCGCATCCTCATATGGCGACGAAAGGCTTGCAAATTAATTAACAAAATCGACAAACATGGATCGTCCCCGTCATCGATAGCACGGCATCGATCTCCACGTGGATGCTTCGCTGTCGTACAACCATAATTTGTTTGAAAACCCTAATACGATTTTTTTAAAAAGTGGACAGGAAGTAAGCTTAGGCTGGTTTACTACAGTTATTCGGAGGTGACTAAACTTCCAGGCACTCACTTAGACAATCCAGATAGAAACTGACAAAAACGCATCTGAAATCAATCAACAGTAGTATATTGCACGTCTCCAACCAAGGGAGTTATATGAACCCTATACTGCAAGGTGGGCCACACCCACAGTGCACAAGGCGAGAAGGCTTAGAAGTCAGGGTGCGAATTTACTGGCTGCAAAGTCCGTGGATCGAATCCGACCTTTGCACTTCGAATTCACCTGTCTAGGAAACCTGGCAGTATCCCAGCCCTAGTG